ATTTGAGTAGTATCGGTTTGTCTATTATGGATTTATTTTTAATGTTGTGTTTAATGTTGTTTGAAAAATTGCGAAGAGACAGGCTTGTTGAGAGGCGGCGGGCGCACGGCTGTATAATCACACGCAAAATATAGTTTGCAAAGTACATTAGGACACTTTGGCACTAAATGCAATATTATTACAGTGATTTTTTTTCCGATCTATTTGACTCATAGTTTTAAAAGGCTGATGAAATGTGAAAAAGCTAAAATGAGGAAACTCGGAGGCTCAGGCAAGGAATTGATTTCTGAATAGACGGTACTTAGGATGCTCTCTTTAATTCCCAAGGCCCAGGTCTCTACACAATGGTAATGTGATAAATGAAAGCTCTGAATGTTTACAAGCTAACAATTAGGCCTCATAAGCACCAAATACCATTTTAATTCTGGGCATTGAACCTTAGCTAAATACGTTTCCAATTGGGAATGGATGGCAGCAGCTTCCTTTGCTGGCCTAATAATTGTCACTGTAATTGTGAACGCTGAGGCTCTGCAGCAGGTTTGAATGGGAGGCAGCAGCTGTGTTAGCAGGTGATGAATTCATTGCTCCGAGTGGCTGCTGCGTGTGCACTCCCATGTTTCAGCATTTCCTTAATTCAGAGCATTTGGAGAACACAGGAGTCTTAGGCTGTGATGAAAACTGGCCCACGCCTAAATCCTGAGGCTGTGGAAACCCAGGGGGGCTTAGCTGAGAAATTAGCTGACTGGGAGAGATTTATCTTACCCCAAGTACCAGGGCACATATCTGCAGTCGCTTGGCCTTCCTCTCCAAGCTGAGGATGAGTCCTCCAAGTGCCTTTGTAGGGCTGAAGGCAGGGATAGAAGGAATGGCCACAGCCATGTCACTCATTTCACGTGTTAAGCCCATTATCTGCTTGGGATGCTGAAGCCTTCAAGCTCGTGTGTCCCAGGAGACTGTGGGGGTGTGAGAGATGACATCAGGTATGTGCCGTATGCTCAAATTCAGGGGAAAAGAGGGAAATGCTCCAGTCCTGAGCAAAACAGTGAAAAGGATCTGCTCACCAAGAGGAAAGCACCGCGTGCGTGCCTCCTTTTGCACAGCCACCTGCAGCACTAAAAGGAGCTTTTGTCTGGCTGTGAGTGTTTTGCACTTCGTCTGCCGCTAATTAAAAACCATAATTAAAACCGGAGCAGTCTAGTTGGGCTGCCTTCCCCCTTCCCTTGCAAGGCATGACCCCCGTCGCAGCTGCAGCTAGGTGAGCTGTCACCCCAAAGCGAGCGCTCCGACGGTCCCCGCCTGGCTCCTGGGCAGAGCCGCAGCAGACGCAGGGAGCACAGATGGTTCGGGTTACTCCTGACAGAGGCTAATGTGGTGACGAAGGAGGTGCCAAAAGCCTCATGTACACGTGCAAGCATCTTAAATAGTTTCCAACATGCCATCGCAGGCTGCTGTGGGCCAAAGCGAGCCTTGCTCCTGGGGACCCCAAGTCCCAGATGGATGCTCTTGGTGAACTTCTTCCCTGCATGTGAGTTGTGTGTGGCTGGAAAAATGTAACCATTGTAAATTACACTTGTTGTACTCACTCGTTTTGACTTAAAAAGAAAAACACAGTGCAGAAATTTAGGCACCATCATACTCTTCTTTTTTTTTTTTCCTGTTGTTCTGACCCAGTTTGCACAGGCAGAGGGTATCAGCGTATTAGCCTGCTATCCCACCACTGTGGAATAGCAAAAAAACAGCTTTTTCTCTTGTTTAGTGGGATGAGGGGCTGCAAACATACATGAGCAGGTACCTTGTCTGATCCCCAGGATGCTAGGGAAGCCGAGTAGTGCCGAGGGGGTGGCAGGAGAGATGTTAGGATGTGTCTGGGGACGTGGTGGAGGGAGCCCAGAGCTGCTGGAAGTGGGGTGGAGGGTTGTTTAAAGGAAGGAGCAGCCTTCACCAAGCACTGGAGGACCCTTTGTGAGGGTGCTATGGGCTGGATGTCCAGGAATAAAGAAGAGTTTAAGGATCCGAGTGTCTGCTGTTTCTTGGGGCTGCGAAATTGAGCATCCACAGGCATTGTGAGGGTTTTTTTGAGCTGTAAGTAGGGCTTGCACGGAAGATAGGTTTTGTGCTGTCAGCATGGTGCTGAGTGTCATTCAATTCGGATAAATCATATGACTCAGAGGACACTGACTCAGCACTTCAATGAAATAGTAGCCACATAGGCCATCGCTCTCTCACCCCATCCCAGCTCTTGCTGTTCTTCTTTCCCTAATCCATGGACCTCCTTCCTTTCACACTCACACCTGTGTTACACCACAGTCCCCCCTCCCAGACTTCAGTTCAGCATGCCTAGATTCATGCTGTTATTTTTAGGAGGTGAAACAGGCTCAGCTCCAGCAGCTGACTCTTAAAACCTATAAATAGAGCAGGGTCCATCCCCTACGGTTGCACCAAGTCAGAGGGGCTAAATTCAGATCCCATCTTCCTTAAATTTCAGAGCATTTGGGATCTGAGACTACTCTTACTGTTTTATATATAGGTCTACTGGTGTCACAATGGAAAAAAATTGGGGTTTTACATAACACACCTTTAGTGATAACGGTGTTCTCTCTGCTCAGGGGGAGACTAAATCATGTCCCTTGTGTCCTGTATCAGCAAATAGGATAAAGATACCTCTCATGATGCATTTAATTTAAGATTTCGTACTGTTTTAGGAGGAGATGTGTGGACGCATCCCAGTCTCAGACCAAACAGGACAATGGCAAACAAGGAGCAAGGCCCCTGGTACTGAGAGCTTTAGTTCTGGCTCTTGCAAGGAGCTTCAGTTTAGATCCAAACCGTGCTCTCCTAGCCACTTGGAAAAGCTTTAGCTGGTCCCTGCCAGCCTCCTGCAACGCAGTCCTGAATTTATCCCTTTCTCTTGTGTTTTTTTTTTTTTCCCCCTTCTTTTCCACTTCACAAGTAGCTGATCGATTGCCAAGGTCTTGGAGGGAAAAGGCAAGGCTGCTCCTTCTCCCATGCGTGGATAATCCCAAGAAGGATAGGCTGACACTGGATGGCCAGATGCTTTCTTCCACCTTCCTGGGCAAGAAAAGCTTCATGCGGCGACGTCTCCAAAGCCAAGAGCTGGAGAGACTCGCAGTGAGCTCACTAATTTAGGCACTTCACTAAATATCAAACTGCAACCAAAATCACCTTTTTAGCCAGCCCTTCCTCACATCAAGTCACTGCCACCCCTGTCAGCAGTGAAGTACAGGATTGTGGACGAAAATGGACAAAGGAGAAAGGAAGAGAAGAGGCAAACTTGTTTTTCTTCACAGTGCAGAGCCAGGTGGCAGGTTTGGGGTCTCTCCTAAATTGCAATTCAGGAGTCATTTTTTGTTATTAGATGGGGTCTGTTGTCTTATTCCCCAGCTCACAGTAATCCTGAAGAGGATCAAGAGCTTCTCAACCCTTCTGCTCCTTCTCATATCTGATCAACCACATCCAGACCCTCTCTGATGCATTTCTCTCACCTGTTCTTAAAAGCATTGATCAGTGGGGTGTCCAGAGCTCCATCTGTTCCTCTGCTTGGGGCAACCGTGGACCTGGAAAATGTTCTCCAGTTTCTGACCTGAATCTCCCCTGTACCTTTTGTCACACCTTCAGTAGAAAAGACAAATTACAAACCTTTTCGGAACAACCATTTTCAAGCTGGCATGTCCCCACTTCTTTGTTTCCTCTCATTTAAAGCAGCTCATTTCTTTTGGCTTTCCCTCTTAGATCATGTTTTCTAAGCATGTTTTCCTTTACGTATCCTTTATGTTACTTCATCATTCTGAGGAGTAGTGCCCCGAGCTGTGCTCCATCGGAGATCACTGCTGAGGCACTGCAGGAGAATGAGTTCTCCCTGCTCAACCACCATTTGCTTTGCATCCCCAAACGATGTGCCCTTCTTGCCCTTCTCTCCTGGGCAGGACATGAAAAAGTCAAATGTTTATCTCTGACGGCTTTTGCTGATTTTTTTCCTGCTGTTTCTCCCTGCCTATTTACATATCCCTTGCCTGGAGGTCCATAGATCTTCCTGCTGCTCTCCATGTCACTCTGCAGGAGCCTTCCTCCAAAAGTCCCTTGCCAGCTACCCAAAAGGGTACCTCTTGAAATGCCATGAATGGGAGGAACATTTGCTCTTCAGAAGGCCTCCAGGCACCGCTGTCTGCTTCTTCATTTTATTGAAAAATAATAAAATAACCCCCTGGCTAGCTAGCTGCTGTGGGACCAGCATGTGTGTATCTCATTTCATCTGGGTCCTGGTAGACAGGTGTCCACATCACAGAAACCTTCCCAGATGGTGCTCGTGTTGGGTCTTTCATTGGAAAAGCCAAGGGCTCAGTAGGGGTGAAAAGTGACCTGCTTTTTTGTGCTTTCAAATCAGTCCTTCCAGATGGTCCCAGGAACAGCAAAAGGCAGAGACAGGGGTCTCAGCTGTGCGCTCAGGGCCCTACATCGTGTTCACAAAGGACAGTTTTCTACCTGGTGTGGCCAATCTGGCAAGTCCTTGCTTCCACCTTAACATTAGCTTTTAAAATAGGATAGAAAATAAGTGCTGAAGAGCTCAGGACACAACCATACAGAAAGCTGGTGGTCTTCAGAAACTCCTAGTTCTGCTAAACAGGATGCACAGACCAGTGCTTTCCCACAGGTCACAGCACAGTGGATGGAAAATAAAGTTTTTTTTCTGACATAAACAAGAAGCACAGTGCAGGTGATGAGCATCAGAAAGATATTGTTAAAAACCAGGCTAATGCCTATTTAGTCATTTTCTGTTCTTTGCTTCATTTCCTTCAGCTAAAAGCCGTAATTTTCTTTTCATAAAGCCAAAAAGAAAGTTCAGGTAGTCCTGACAGATAGCAGGGTTTTGTCTGGGAAAAATCTGGGTGAAGGCACCAAGACTTGGTCTCTGCTTTGCAGGATGATCCGTGTGTCCCACTCTTGTGTTCGTGCTGTTGATTTCCTTCCATCCTCCCTTCCAGGTACGACAGCTTCGGCCGCCTGACCAACGTCACCTTCCCCACTGGCCAAGTGAGCAGCTTCCGCAGCGACACCGACAGCTCCGTGCACGTCCAGGTGGAAACCTCCAGCAAGGACGACGTGACAATAACGACCAACTTGTCGGCGTCAGGAGCCTTCTACACCCTGCTCCAAGGTGAGTCAGGCCCCTCTCCCTCTCCCAGCCAGGCTGCACGCGTGGGATTATCCATCAGGAAACAGGCACCGTCCTGATAATCCCTGCCACCTGCATCCCCAGCACCCCAGAGCTCCCCACGTGCTGGGGCAGACTCACACTCGCACCTACTCAGCCACATTCCCTAGCTCCAGAGCTGCTCTGCAGCTGTTTTTTGCTTCATTCTCAGCCAGTCCCCTTGCCATGTAGCGTAGTCCTCCGTCATCATTACCATTATTGTTACAACAAAAAGGGTCGTGTAAATCTCGTCGTGCTTCCATCCGACCCCCTTTGCTTCATTCTCTTTGTGGCTTCCAACTTAGCAGTTCCTCTCCCCCTGGAAAAGGTTTCCAGATGGTTACCAGAGGTTTCTCTAACTCTTTGTTCACTGGCTGTTCAAATAGTCAGATGGCAGCATCCAAAAAAATGACCATCCCAGTCCCCAAATATCTGCGTTTCAGCTAAAAGGCTGGGGTGGAGAGGCAGTGCGGAGGAAGGAGATGTGGGCAGCAGGGCTGGGACTGATTTGCAGCTGTTGGAAATGAGCACGGCTCTGCTGGTGATGGCAAGGTGGGGAAGCAGGGAATTGATGAGGTGGAGGAAAAGGTGATGAAGTGGGAAAGGAAAGAGGAATAAGGAGTGGTGTAGCACCGTGCTGATGTACCGGTAAGGGCAGAAGATGTAGTGCACAAACCATGCCAACCTGGATCTCCAGGTTCTGAAGGCTGAAGCCTCCTGGGGGTCCCTCACTCCTGTTCCCTGGGGCCAGGAGCAAGAGAAAGGATTGGCAAACCATCAGCTTTCTTCACTCCCCATGTCTCATTCATGCTTTGCCTAATGGCAACAGGCTGCCAAACATCGTTTCCCCTGGTGAAGAACAAAGTGCTCCAAGTGAGACCAACGTGTTCCAGAGTCCCACTTGTTCCCATGTCTCTGGGATGTGCATTTCCCTCCCCCTCCCTATAATAAAAGCAAGCTTTCCTAAAAGAAAGTGCCTACTATGCCTTCACGCTGCCTTTCCTGCCTTTGGAGAAGGCAGCTGAGAGGGTGCCAGCCCCTTCAAGCTGTGCCCAGTATCCCTCTAGGGGAGCACAATGACTTTCTTTTTCTTCCCTTCAGTCTGCAGGAGCAAGATCCAACCTACCCCGCCCCATCCCATCCACTTGCATTAAGATGTCTGGCAACTGCACAGACACGAGGTTGGCTTCACCTCAAGAGCCTAATTAAGCAATAGAGCCCACTGTTGGGGGCCCTTTAGTGAGATAATTGACTGCAATGTGATTTATACATCCAGAGCTGAAGGCACAGTTACATAATGGTGCCACGGTCAATTATCTCATTGTACTGCCCTCCAGCACGGGGCCACTGTTGCCGTTGGGATACACAGTATTACAAACAGCTTAACCATCTTGAGAAAGTATAAAATTACAAAATTCATTGGGTCTGGAGAAACGCACTTACCTAAAACTGAAGATCTGGATAATGTCGCAGCAGAGGTGGCCCGTGACCTGCTGAGGGTGGCTTTCCCACGAGCAGTATTCCCAAACCGAGGCAGTTGTTTGTTCATGGCATCACTGTAGAAACTGAAACGAAGGCCACTGGAGTTACCCAGGGATGTGCTGAGCACAGCTGAAATGTAATTTGCCTTCCAAGTGTCTCTCTGGTGGAAGGAGCTGGAGCCATTCGAGGTCTCTGAGCACCTCACCCGCTCAGTTGCTCTCAATGGAAAATGCACGTTGCAGATTCCCTTTTCATGAGAGGTGCTTCTGCATTTTCCTTCAGGGCTCGAAGCTCTGGCCAGCTTTCACAAATCCACTGCAAACCTTTCAAAGAAACCTGGATCACACTGAGCAAGCTCTGGCTACAGTCAGTGTGTGATGGAGGCGTTTTATGGCTCCACGCAGAGACCAGAAACAGACCTCACAAAGGTATTTTAATACCTAAATTCTGTTGTTCTTGGTCAGGAGTTGGAGTTCAGGCACTCAGAAATCCTTAGTTATAGGACTCACAACTGTGGACTCTCATCCATAGACCCCCATCACCTACTGGGACCCTCTGTCCCAAGGTAAGCAATCTCCCATATCAAGGATGAGATCTGTGATGAGCTGGGGTGTTGCCCAGCCCTCAAACCCCCAGATCAGAATTAAGCACCACTAAAAGCTTTGAACATCCACCTGCCTTAGCCAAGGTGGGTGTCAGGGCTGTCAGAAAAGTCCAACATGCACCCAGGTGGATCCATACACTAGCTTTGCATTAGGACTTAGGGATGCTCAGGATATGTGGGGTGAGAAAGACATCTCAACTCGAGGTGTCTAAGGAACAGAATGGGCATTTTTTAGGCTTGGGCACCAAAAAGGAACTTTCGTGAGATCTGAGAAGGTATTTCCAGAAGATTATGTGTTCCTATAGAATAGATTTAGGAGCCTGTATAGCCAACAGAAATTCTGTGGGATTTTGCCCTGTAGACTGCTGACAAAAAGGGTAGTTTTTCAAGGCCAAAATAGAGTACAAAAATAGAGTCTAATCACAGAATCACAGAACCATTTAGGTTGGAAGAGACCTCCAAGATCACCTACTGATCACCTCTGACCTAACACTAACAAGTCCTCCACTAAACCATACCACTAAGCTAAATCACTGTAAAATACAGCACCTGGATTTCATGTAGCTCTGGTGAAATGCCTTCCAAACTCAAGTGTCTCCTTTTGGGGAAATTTTGAAAGTAATGGATTTGTAGTTCTCACACTGCTGGTGACAATCCACCATAACCCCTCTTTGGTGCCTGTGTGACACAAAGGGAGCACCACATGCCCAGTGAATCCCAGAGGGTGTTTCCCCTGCTTCCTGGTGAAGGATGAAGGAAGGAGGGATTTATTGTAGTGCAGAGATATTTCACTGATTTGATTTAAACTGGATCTCTACTACTTTATTTCAGAAGACCAAGTATCTAAGAGCAAAAAAAGTGAAAGCCAGCAGACTGTCTTCTTTCTATTTGGAGAATCAAGCCTGGAGTGTTCACAAGTTTAATCCTGCTGGAGTCTGGGTCAAAAGACCATCAAATTAAGTAGACAATGGTGTAGCCAAAGCGCTTGAATCTGTGCTGTGGATCACTGCTGTACATTTATAGTGGCAAAATCTGGTGCCACAGCAATTTCACACCATCATTAGGTTAACTGTGTACAGTAAGTTGAGTTGTGGCCCTGCTGAGATCAGTGTGGCAAGACTCCAGCTGGCTCCAGCAGCACCAGGATCGGCCTCACAATAAAAGCGACCAGCTGGTGTCAGGTTTCCTTCCCTAATTATACCAAACTCTGTTGTTGTTTTTATTTTTCTTTCTTTTTTGCTGATCTATTTCAGCTAGACGAGAGATAGTAATTTTGCTGTGACCTCGTTTCCTGCTGAGCTATGGCAGAGCAACTAGTGAACAAAACCCTACTCGCCTCGGAACGGAAAAACAATTGACATGAATTTTTAATGGGTATTTTTATTCACAATTAGGTATTTATGGCAGCCCGGGAGATAGAAATGGTAATATTTTTCAGCCTTTGAAGAGCTTCAAATAAGTCACTCTGTGTATAATGCACTTTTAAAGCTATTCTGCATTGAGCAAGTCTCATGTTTTCTTACCCTTCACAAGCTCTGCAGAGAGAAGTGCCAGGTGGAGTTTCAAAGGACGGGGTTTCAGCCTGCCTCATTCCTGAAGGGTGTGCCAGGGATATTGTTCTCCTCCTCTTCTGCTCCTGAAATCCCAAATCCTGGCCTCCAAATCTGCTGATCTGTCAGGAGCTAGCGGAGAACAGATGTACGGAGATGTGTGGGAGCTTAGTGCCTCTGCTTTTTCTCCAAACATGAGGTCTTCACTTGCCTCCTGAAAGCTTTCCCAAACAAGAGTGTTTGGCTGTTGTTTGGGGAACTGGTTAGCGTTAACTTGCCGTGCAATTTCCTGTCCCTTGTGAGATAGGGAATAAGCTGAGAAAAGGAGGTGGCCCCACTTTTTCATATTTTGTAGAGAAATTGGGATCTTTGGGGTATAAAAATGTGGAAAGTTTTCAGCAGGACTGTGGTTTAAAACAAATATCTCACCACTCGGTGTTTTAGTGTAGGTCTTTATCCTAGCCTAGAGGTAGAAGTTTGAACCTTTGTCCTTGAATACGGTATTACGAGGCTGTTCCACTGGTGGCTTTTTAAACCTGTGTAAGATTTTTCTGCAAGAATTTGAGGCCTTGCAGAATCTCATCAGAATTAAAAAAATGACTCCTCACCTCAGTTTTTAGTGCTTTGCTCATTGTAAGTAGGACAGGTGAGTGACAGAGTGCGTTTGGTTGCAGCCACCAAAAATATTGGTGAGGCCTGGATGAGGGAGCAAATAAAAGGCTGGAGCTCGATCACGGGGCAGCCCTTTTAAAAGCTCTCTTTTCTGTCTTCAGATCAAGTCCGAAACAGCTACTACATCGGCGCCGACGGCTCTCTCAGGCTGATGCTTGCCAATGGCATGGAGGTGGCCCTGCAGACCGAGCCACATCTGCTGGCCGGCACCGTCAACCCCACGGTGGGCAAGAGGAACGTCACCCTGCCCATCGACAACGGCCTCAACCTCGTGGAGTGGAGGCAGAGGAAGGAGCAAGCGAGAGGGCAGGTCACCGTCTTCGGACGTCGGCTGAGGGTAAGTGAGAGGCGTGAGCAGTTTTGGACTCTGCTTCCCATCTTGTCAGTCCCCAGCCTTGTGACAGAAAGAGACAGGGCTGATTTCTACTCTCTGCAACCAGGATGAGGCTGCAGGATGGAGAAAGAGCTGTTCATCCCTGGTGACATAATCTTTATGGCTTGGATGTGTCCTTATGTCTCCTTGTGTGCTGTCATTGTCTCAGCCATCACAGGCAGGACTGCTGATGTCCCTGAGCCCTCTGCATCACTGGGAATGCATCACCTCCTACCAGACACTGCAGCTTTAACCACCAGGCTGTTCAAGCAAGCACAAGACGATCGTGACCACTAAATATTGCACCAGTTAATAGAAATTAATAAGTATTTTCTACCTGTACTGCTGGTAGACATGAGCACTGACAGCTTTGTGAGCCTTGTTGTTATCTGTGTAGCCTCAGGAAAATCTCTAGGTTCCTGAAACTTGCTAATCTGTCGAACCTGCTGAAGAGCTGGGCTTGCAGGGCATCGCATGGCAATTGCCTTTGTTCCCTGATGTGAAGAGTTATCAACAGCTCCAGCCTGATGCTGCTCTCTCCCCACCGAGTGGGCAGCACTTTCTGTGCTCGAGTCTGACGTGGTTTGAAAACATTGTTCCACACCATGCGCCGCAGACTCGTCAGGGCTTTTTCAAGTTCTTGCCCAGTAAGCCTGTAATTCCTCTGCTAACTGCAGGCAAGGTGGGGAACTTGTAATAACAGCGAGTCCTGCACACTCACCCTGCACCTTGCTGCTCTCGGAGTCGTGGGCTTATGTGAAGCTGCTCAGCGCCTGGCAAATTCAGGCTCTCAGAGAAAAAGGCAGTGCTACCACGGCCAAAGGATTTCAGCTATTTATTCACACTCAAGCTTCGCAGGAAATATTAATGCTGTGGTTTCAGAATATGTATTTCCCAGTCCTTGCTCTCCACCTCTCCCTATTCCCTGCTGAGTGACCTTTGCCACCGTGGTGTGATTTTTCCCGGCTCTCGTCGCTCACACTTGTCAAGCGTTGCTCCTCACCCTCCCCAGCCCCGCCGCTGCTCTTTTCCCCTTGCATCGATAGCCTCACACACTCACTCTTTTTCATCATCAGGAGAATAGCTGGGCAAACAGTAGTGAAAGCTGAGGCTGCTCCTTCATTGGAAACTGCTGGATGTCTGCAGATCGGTTGGCATCAATCTTCGTGTTTGGTTTGGGTTGTTGTTTTTTTATTTTTATTTTTTATTTTATTGTAATAACCAATGAAATTACCAGACAAGTCTGCCTCTGAAAGGAGACAGCCTTCTCAAATCTGCAGCTGTGGCACAGCCATTTGGTGTTCAAAGCAGTTTCCACTCATTTAGCCGCAGCTCAGCTGCCCGTGTCAGTTTTATCTTCCAAAATCTTCACAGCGGATTCAAACACAGAATGTGTCTTTGTTTTATATTGTACTGCATTTGGAAAAGCACTTGCAAAATGAGTTTTCAGGCTGGTAACTCGTGTCCCTATAAATCTGCCAGCATTTATTCACATTTGGAGCCTACTGGGGCCTGTCCCTGCTTCTAGTGAAGCAGAAGAGCATCTTACATCATTGAAGGACTCGGTTACAGCTCTGTTCTGGGGTTCAAAGGAGCTGAGGGTGAGCAAGAAGTTTTAAGCTGCCTGTCTGTACCTGCACGGCAGCATCTGCACCCCTAAGACATAAACCTGCAAGGTGCTAATTGCCTCCCTGGGGACTGCTCGGCATTTAACATATTCTCCGTGTCATGTTCTCCTCTTCCCTCTCACCAGTAATTGCTGCTTTCTCTGGCAAGGGAGAAGCTTAGGGAAGTTGAGTTCAACATGTTTTTGTTCGTTTGGGGAAACTTTATCATTTTCTGCCTTGGGTGAGTAAATCACCACTTTCCCTCTCCCCTCACCCCGCTGCTCCCAGGAGACGGCAGCAAAGGCATGGGGGAAAGGATGCTCTGTGGGAAAAGAGCTCGCCCAGCAAGGCTGCAGCCCTGCATCTCTCCCTGAGATCTGTGAGATGGGGAGAACAGCATCTGGCTGCTGTAAAAGAGGGAGTTCCCCTAAAAACAGCATAATTTCGGCTGCCGTCACACAGATTTATATTTTATGAGTCGTGCCCCATGTTTGCAGGGTGTTCCTGGGGACTGGCGACACATTGCCATGAGCTCAACCAGCTCCTGGCATGATAATGCCAGTGGCTCAGCTGCCTCCTTAACCTTCCCTAGGAAATAAAACAGTGCCTGTGTTTATCGCAGGGATAAGGCACAGGGCAGGGACTTATTCGTGGATGAAGGCAGAAGGGGCCGGCCCCGATAACTTTTCCGCAGTCCCAGCAATGCTGACCTGATGCTGAGCAGCAAGGTATCTCCGCTAATTGTCTGGCTGCAAATTCAGCCCCTGACAAGCCAACAGCAGCACAGACCCCATCTGCAGTGAGAGCATTGGCTAAGCTCTGCTCCAAGGAGCAGAGCTCCTTCTTTCCTTTTTTTTTTTCTTTTTTTTAAACAAATATGAATTTTTCAATAAAGAAGGATGTAATCTCTGGCAATGGAGCAAATAGGACAGTTGACAGAGCTGCTGGCTCAGCTGTTTTATTTATTTAACCATGAAAACTCCTGTTGCAGTTTGGTTCCTTTTCCCCAAGACCAGGCTAACAGTGGCACCAAGACCAAGTGTCCCAAAGACTCCCAAAAGCCAACACAACCAGAGAGGTCCTGTGGGATATGCCAGTAATGCTCCTGGTGTGTTTGCTAGTGAGGACAGTCCAGCATCATCTCCAGAGCTTCTACAAGGAGCTGAGGCTTGGCTATGGCCACCCCAATAATTTCAGCAATTCACTGGCAAAACTGCTTTGTGGGTACCATATATCACGTGGATGTTGTTGGCTCCTGGAGTCCTCACCGCAGAAGTATTTTTTGTGCTCTTCTGCTGAAGGTTGCCACAGCCTTTTTATGAGAAATCTTCCCTTTTCATGCTCTTGCTCTCCCAGGGAGACCAATGCATGCTGTTTAATTATCATTTAAGCTAAAGGAGCTCCACACGAAGATTTGGAGAGATCTGAGATGGCGGCGTGTCTGTGCTCCTGCTTTTCCAGAGCAAACCAAGGGGTTAAATGGAAGTACTGTAGTAGGATGTGAGTTTGGGGGCAAGTTTAGTCCCATACACACTGTAAAGGGAGGTCAAATACACTGTGAACTGTGCACTGATGTTTACCCTGGCTCAGCCCTGTGCTGATCACAGGCCTTGCCAAATGCCCTGAGGGGCAAAAGCTTTCTGCAGGAGCTTCTCAGAGCCTTTTCCAGGACGAGGACTCCGGGATGGAGGATGGCACCTTATTTAGCTGCTCACCATAAAACACGCTTGTTGGACTGAAGCCTGCAGCCCTGTCAGTGCTTCTACAGAAAATTCCCTTCTATTCAAGGGAATTCAAATTCCCTTCTATTCCCTTGAACAAGGAGGAAAAGATTTAGCCCCTGTTCAGAGGCTACCTGGCAGTGTCGGGTTGGCTTTGCCCATCACCTTGCGGGGTGGCTGTTGGCACTGCAATGCTTCACAGAAAGGAGAGCAGGAGAAAACAAATCATAAAAAAAAAAATCATGAAAAGGGAGACTGGTTTCAGCTAGTCCTGCAGAAATCCCTTGCCACGGTGGTGGAATGAGTTAGGGCACCAGTAACGGGATACAGAGGTTTGGAGAGAGCCTAAGAGCTGCCCGGGGACCTGTTATTTGGTTCTTCCAGCACAGTGCATGGCACACGGAGCAGGGAGGCCACTTCCAGCCCGGATCACTGTCCCAGCCCTGGAAGAGCTCTTTCCAGCTCTCTTGGCAGAGACCAGTAGCAGAAAAAGCTGCAGCTGCTGGGCTGAAGCTGCTCTGTGAATAGATGGAAGGCAGAGATATTATTCCTTCCTGCTTTGCTTTGCTTTCTTTTTTTTTTTTTTCCTTTTTGCAGGCAATTGCCACTTCTGTTTCTCTATTTATAGCAGTAAGCACCTATGAGATATCAAATTGCTCCGTTAGTTACATATGTGCATCTGTACTTAGAGTTTTGATACCTTTTTAATTATTTCCCAGCTTGGCTGTTACAATGGGCTTTTGGCTGATTTCCTCTTTTTCCCATTGCCCATTTGCATTCTATTTTAAACTCAGCTACACATTTAATTGGAGCATTATCTACCTTTCCACACTGTGTTTTTTTTTTCTCCTCAAGTCCTACTTGCCTTTTACACTGTTATTCATAAACTGGAAATCAGTTTTGCGGTTGCCTCCTTTTACATCATTTTTACACTTACATCACAGCACCGACTCCTTCTGCCTGGGCTGGCCACGCACCCCCTCAGCTCAGTTCCACATTTTCTCAGCCCTGTTTTTACCTCTTCTGACCTCCTTCTGAGACTCCTTCTTTTGATTTCTGGCTCTGTAATGCCCCCATTCCCCAGGTTCCAGCACTGATGTCTGAAAGCACAGCAGTGGTCCTGCCGTTCCCTCTCCCACCACCTCCAGGAATCCAGCACACCATTTCTCCATTGCCTCTACAATATCCTTTCTGTTCCTGGTTAGCTCTCAGATACTCCCACATCCCTCAAAATACACTGGGAATTCAATATACACCCTAAAGAAATGGCCAAGATCAAAGCTGGACCAGGGCTGAGAGCAGTGCTCAGTGTTGGTGTTACCCAGAGCAGGGTAAGGCAGCATTTTTAACTCAGACCCTGCAGCAACCTGCAAGCCCTTGGTTTATTGACTGCAGCTGAAGGGCTGCAGAGGGAACCAAAAAAGCTCTTTGGAGTTTGAATTTCATCTGAGAAGAGTCCGCGCCTTCCCAGAAAAGAGAGGGGTTCACCAGCTGAAAAAGGTTTGAAAGTGGTGGGATGGAGAAGCAGCTGTCTTCCCTGGCAAGCTTTTCCTGGCAACGCGGGGTTTTCATCCTTGCACGGTGCTTTGCTACTGTGCTGATGTGGCTTTCTAAATCTCCTTGCACATGCAGCTAAACATGAGTTGTATTAGCAGGTCCTTTTTGTAATGCTGTGTGCTACAATCCCTGAATGAAAATGTATTCCTGCTCCTACCTTTGAAGTAGATACCTTTGATCTTTGGAAATGCAGAGGCAGTGGAGGTAACAGGAGTGTAATTATGCAACACAGAATAACCCCAGGACAATGAAGCTAAAACTCCAGCTCTCACAAAAAAGTCCCTGGTCTACGTAACATCTACAGTGGTCAAAGCCTCCATATTTCATCCCAGGTGGAAGGCTTCACCTCCAGTGCATGTGGTAAAAACTCAGAGAAAAACTCAACTTTCAACTATATTGACACAACACTCATCTTCTTTCTAAAACTAATATTTTTTTTATGTCCATGAAAGCAAAAAGTTTCTATATCCCAGATTTAATAAGCAATCTTGCAAATATCCCTTGCAACAATTTATTATGACATCTTCTGTAGGGCCATACCTCATGTGCTGTACCAGTCCTAAGCCTAGGTTTGGGATATTAGCAATATTAATCCTCCGTGGTGATGCTTCAGAAGTACCCACGGGTTTTCTGCCTCTGTCCTCACTGAAGTCAAGAAGTAGGGTTAGGCCAACACTTGGTTTTGAAAATCTTATCCAGAGGCAATGAAGATCTGGATAGTCTCCAGTGTGATATAAAGAGGTTTTTGGTGAAACAAGGCTAGGCTTGGTAACTAGAACAGTTTCCAGCTTCCTAATTCTTTGTCTCGCTCTTGTAGGTCCACAACAGAAACCTGCTGTCCCTCGACTTCGATCGTGTGACAAGAACAGAGAAGATCTATGATGATCACCGCAAGTTCACGCTCCGCATCCTCTACGACCAGGCGGGGAGGCCCAGCCTCTGGTCACCCAGCAGCAGATTGAATGGGGTCAACGTCACCTATTCCCCAGGAGGACACATCGCGGGGATCCAGCGGGGCACAATGTCAGAGAGGATGGAGTATGATCAGTCTGGCAGGATTACATCCAGGATCTTTGCTGATGGCAAATCTTGGAGCTACACTTACCTGGAGAAGGTGGGAGTCCTCCTACTGACTTCTCACTCATGGTGCATTTGGTGTCAAAGATCTTCACATCTTTGACTTTAGCATGGCTGCATTACTTCACAGCAGCTGATTACTGATCCTTATAATCCAATACTCCTCTTCAAGCGGATTCTGCTTGCACTAAGATGCATATAGAAACTTTGGTGCCACACCACCCAAAGAGCAGTTGAAAATACCATGGAAAGTTCCCCTGGGGGCAGTATTCTTTCCCAGTCACACTGAGAGCATGTCTTAATGCTGTAGAGCTCTGGCATTTGATTTTTAAGCACAACATTCCTTTGCTGATCTAGCTGTAATATAAAATATCTGCAGATAAAGTCAAAGGAGTGAACAGTAGGCATTTCTACTAGGATTTTCCATGTGAAAACAACCCATATAGTATAACATCCTCCCTTCTCTGAGTAGCCTATTCTTGTTTCATAGGAAATACACATAATGAAAAGCACAAGGCACAAATCCAGCCAGACTGTTGTAAACACTTTGCAGTGGTTTCTATAGTCTTCATTGTGTAAGTTGGCATGGGACTTAATTTCTTCTGGGTATTACCATTTGTTGTTACACTACTCAGTGTCCCGTAGATCCCCTTCTTGCATACCTGGGGCTGATATTCATAAGTTTTATATAGAGCCTATCCCTACAATAGCTTAAGGAAATTGCAGTAACATGGCTTTGAAAAAGCAAAAAGTATTGAGTTGCACCTTGTATTATACAATCTGTGTGATTGTCAGTTACATGCAAAAAAACACTGACAACGAATACGCACGTGGGCAGAAGTTTCTAAGGCAGTAACAGACGACACATAGACACACCGAGTTAATTGGGCATTGAACAGCTTCAGGAAGGTGTTTTTTCAAGCATTTCTTTGGTCTTTCTATCAGCTTTATTTAGTTAGTTTGTAGAAGCTATTGACAAGGAGAGTTTGGGAAGAGACAGCTACACGGTATCGATCCGAACAACTGAGCATTCTAAACTTAGACCTTCACTGCACTAACTGCTTCTTCCTTTGACTTGCTCCTACTTGGGGATGCTTGATGGGCCATGCAGCTGCATGCTACCACTACTTCATCCTGTGGGTGCAGACTTATCTCACTTGCCCTATTTTTATTATTTTTTTTTTGAATGGAGAATTTTGCAGGTTTTTTTTAGAGTTAAGAATGATTTTGCCTGAAAACAAGGATTAAAACTTATTCTTTTCTCTTCCCCACCTAGTCCATGGTGCTGCTCCTTCACAGCCAGAGGCAGTACATCTTCGAGTTTGATAAGAATGACCGGTTGTCGTCTGTGACCATGCCCAATGTTGCCCGGCAGACTTTAGAAACCATCCGTTCCATCGGCTACTACAGGAACATCTACCGACCCCCAGAAGGCAACGCCTCAGTAATTCAGGATTTCACAGAGGATGAGCAGCTGCTCCACACTTTGTACTTGGGGACAGGGAGACGTGTCATCTACAAGTATGGAAAGTTGTCCAAGTTGGCGGAGATGCTCTACGACACCACAAAGATCAGTTTCACCTATGATGAAACTGCTGGCATGCTGAAGACGATAAACTTGCAGAATGAAGGGTTCACGTGTACGATCAGGTACAGACAGATAGGGCCCCTCATTGACCGGCAGATTTTCCGCTTCACTGAGGAAGGCATGGTGAATGCACGCTTTGACTATAATTATGACAACAGCTTTCGGGTGACCAGCATGCAAGCAGTCATCAACGAGACACCTTTACCTATCGATCTCTACAGGTACGATGACGTATCAGGCAAAACTGAGCAATTTGGTAAATTCGGAGTCATTTACTATGACATCAACCAGATTATCACCACCGCTGTCATGACTCACACCAAACATTTCGATGCCTATGGCAGGATGAAGGAGGTCCAGTACGAGATATTTCGGTCGCTCATGTACTGGATGACCGTGCAGTACGACAACATGGGGAGAGTTGTAAAGAAAGAGTTGAAGGTTGGCCCTTATGCAAACACCACCAGGTACTCCTATGAGTATGATGCCGATGGCCAGCTGCAGACAGTGTCTATCAACGACAAACCACTCTGGCGTTACAGCTATGACCTAAATGGAAACCTCCATTTGCTGAGTCCGGGGAATAGCGCCCGCCTTACCCCACTCAGGTACGACCTCAGGGATAGGATTACTAGACTGGGGGATGTGCAGTACAAAATGGACGAGGATGGCTTCCTGAAGCAAAGAGGCAATGATATTTTTGAATACAATTCAGCTGGCCTGCTCATCAAAGCCTACAACAAAGCTAGTGGGTGGAGCGTGAAATACCGCTACGATGGCCTAGGAAGGAGAGTTTCTAGCAAAACCAGCCATGGCCACCACTTGCAGTTCTTCTACGCAGACCTGACCAACCCAACCAAGGTCACCCATCTGTACAACCACTCGAGCTCCGAGATCACGTCCCTCTATTATGACCTCCAAGGCCACCTCTTTGCAATGGAGCTCAGCAGCGGCGATGAATTCTACATAGCCTGCGATAACATCGGCACTCCTCTGGCTGTCTTCAGTGGGACTGGCTTAATGATTAAACAGATATTATACACAGCATATGGGGAGATCTATATGGACACCAATCCCAACTTCCAGATCATCATCGGCTACCACGGAGGACTGTACGACCCCCTCACAAAGCTTATCCACATGGGACGGAGAGACTACGATGTGCTAGCAGGTCGATGGACGAGTCCGGACCATGATATGTGGAAGCACCTGAGCAGCAATAACATAATGCCTTTCAACCTGTATATGTTCAAAAACAACAACCCCATTAGCAACTCTCAGGATATCAAATGTTATATGACAGGTAAGACATTTAAATTGATTAATATATTCACAAACTGGTGTCTAGCTTGCCATCAGTGAGTAGGATCCTCTCAGTATCCTTGTCACAATGGGGTTTTCCAGTGTTCAGCACAATGGACACAAGCTTTTCTTTGCCAGTTGACCCCTATGTCGGAGCGTGGTCGTGGGCATGTTTAATTCATTAGCATAGACTGAGATTCTAATTCCCAAACTTGCTTCCTTTTCACTTTCTTGGTATTTAAACTCTTTATGTTGCTTCCAGCTGTTTGTTTCCTCGGATATCCCAAGTTTAGCTACCAATTAACGTCCTAATATCCTTTCTCTTTGTGGTGGGGCAGCTCTGTTTACACAGTTTTGCCCAGAGATTTATTTGCAACTAAACAAATGACATGCAGATTTGTTTTAGCAGAATGGCAGCAGCAACTTAAACCTTTTATCATTGTCAGCCATTTCAGAGCACACAACAGTAACGATGTAGTTCAGAGTTAATCTGCCCAACAGAATTAACAGTTTCTATTAAATGTCAATAAAAAGCCAGTGCTTTAGACTTAAAGGCCAGGTTTTAAGGCATATGTCCCCCACAGCTTGACATAACCTCCGAACTGCTTCCCCAAAGACTTCATAAAATGGCGTTAACATGATCTCTATGTATGTTTTTTATACAGAAAATCATTCTGGAGGTTAAATGTCCATCCTACACTCATGCTTCGTGCAACACTGGCAGTAACATTTTAGAGTACTGTTCTGTTGGGATTTTTTTCCATATAATTATCATTGCAAAACCAGGCGACAGTCACAAATCAAATGTGCATACTTCTTGAGGAGATACCAATAATTTTAAAACCTGCTGCGTCTATCACAACTTTCCCATATACAACAATATTTGCATTCCCCTAAATTATGAGAGTGGCTTAATAGCAAAAAAAAAAAATGTTATGAAATAAAAATCCCATATTGTTTCATTCAGCTTGTTTTTTCAGCCATTAAGGTTCATGCTTTCAAATTCTCCTGCAATAATCATAAGCATTAGGTTGTATTTTGTTTAGATGAAAAGCTGTTTTGTCCAGAGCTGGGAAGATGATGCCATGAGGAAAGTAAACTATGCCAAAAGATGCAGGCTAAGACTCTGTGTGTTGGCCTGACTCTGATAATTAAAGCTGGCAGGGAATATTTTGAGATAACTTTTCCTATCAGAAAATGCTCATTTGTCAAAAGGGAATTTGTTTGTGGGAGAGTGTTGAGCTTGAGAGATTTCTCAGCAGAGATGTTGCAAACAGCTCTCAAAATCATCTAAATGACAAATTCCAAAATAATGTGAAAGAAAAAAAAAATCCTTTTTCAGTTTCAACCTTTTCAAATTAATTATAAACTAGTTATAGAAGACTGGAAAAGAGAAATTAACAAGTCAAAATCAAAACGAAACATCTTAACACCAAATTGTAGTCTTGAAGTAGTCTAGTATTTGAACAGTCACTTCATGACATATTAACAGATTTTTATTTTTCTGCTCAAGTTCAGACAGGACAGAATTTCAAATGCTGTCTTGGATCAAGCAAACCGTTTCCCACCCAGCTTTGATGATAACGTCAAGACGCCCAAATCCAATACTTTCATGTTTTATATGCACCAAATAACTTTTTCCATCATCTTAAAAATTCAATTTCTAGTCTTAAAAGAATGCAGAGCCCAAGTTCGTGTTTTAAGTTTCTGCCTTCCCACTTGCACCCTGTGCATGGCAGAAACACATCACGATATGGGATGAGTGTCGTGATACTTGGCTGCTGCTCTGCCATTCCTTTCTGCTGAAGCTTTCAGGGTGGGTGATGAGAGTGTCCTTGTCATCACAACCACATCTGCCCAGATTTTGGCACAGGGAACCACTCCGTCCCTCCCTCCCTACCCCAGCACCTGCTGTTCTTAAGGGGAGCTCAGCTTCTAGGACACAGGCGAGCAGCATTTTGGTCTCGAAATATCAGGTTTCTGAGCTCGTGGGTACAAATTGGAGGCAGGCGGAGGGGAGAGCAGGAGGAGCAGGTATTTATGTTTTGAGAGGCCCATTGTTAAACATGAGTATTTTAGCGATTGTACACTTCATGGCACAGAGCTCTGCTGCCAGCTTCAGCAATCCTGATGGATTGAACTGACATTTCCATTACATGTGTCTGCATTAAGCACTCTTTTTCTTTGCCCTCAAATGAATTTACTGTGAAATGTGTTGGCAGGGTTACTGTAGCTGAAAAAAAACTCTGTGATGTGGAATGTACTTTTCTGTCAAAAAAGTTGTCACTGCCTCTTGGCAAATTAATATTTTCCCCTCTGTTTTCTCAGCTCCACACCTTCCTCCTGTGGTGGGTTTTGGGGTGTGGGTTTTCTGTTGTTGTTGTGCTGGGTATTCCAACACCTCTTCCCAAAAAGAACAAGCTCCTGTTTGCAAATGTTTTGAAAGTCAGTTTCCTGAGCAGTACCAAAAAAAACCCTGTCATGAATCTCTCCAGACATGGTACATATTTTTCTGCTGTTCAGCATCCCTGCTCTGTCTCCTTTCTAACATTTGTGAAGTGCTCGGAAAATGATTCCTGCACCGATGCCGACCTTCACAGTTTTCCTTTGTTCTCCTGACCACCTGGTCCACAATATGGACATCAAAGGTCCTCGCTTCACATGAGAGGGGTTTGGAAGCAGGCTGGCTTAGCGCTAAGCAAAGAGATAATCAAACGAGAATGAGAACCGATTAATTTCCTCCCCTCCCCCCCAACCTCTCTGTTTCAAAGACACTCCAAAAACAATCTGTACGTTGAGTGAACAGAAGTGTTTTTATTACAGAAACCCTCCTCCTTCCACATGGATTATTGCAAGGGCTTTTTGGACATCTGCCCAATCTCAACATTTTGGCCTGCAAGAAAACAAGCATCAGATAGTGTGTTTGTTTGGCTTCTGGTCCTCCAGTCATCTGGAAGTGCCTTTCTTGCCATTTGCATCTGTAATTTCTCTTCTGACCAGCTCTTCAGAACATTCATTCAGGCCCATAGGGGACAAAGAAAAAAATATTCAAATCCGCACATTTGATTCTTTGAATTGATCCTGTTTTCAGACTGTTTCAGCAGTGTTTATTCAGCTTAGCGAAATGAAAAACAAGCCCTTTGCACATCCAGCTTGAAACAGAGCAATCACCAACACCACCCCAGTTACACGCAAAACACGCAAGACCCCTGGGAGCTGATATTAGTTAAACTTTACCTCCATATCTTCCTTCTTCTTGCAATTGCTGTGTGTGTGCCAAATGCACACCATATTGCTCGGGGACTGGAGCAGGTGTGTCCTTCTCTAGAGTCCAGCAAAGGCAAACAAGGTGAGATCATCAAATGCTCCAAAGTTAAAGTGGGGAAGCGATGCTGATCCCAAGCAGATCTAGGAGTTAGCCAGCCACGTCGTTATTTCCTCCAGCAGGAGAACATCTAGCTGCTATGCCTAATAGCTCTGCAATTTGCAAATTAGGGAAGATGTTGTAGTCTTCTGTCAAAGGAATACAAGAATGTTCCCCCAGTCTAATCCTCAACATCCCAAATGCCTTGGTTTTCCATCATGTCCCCTTTAGTGCCAACAATCCCTCTTTTGCATAAGACAATGGTTTATGGCTTGTAGCCAGCAGTGTTCTCACCATCCAAGGACTTCTTCTAAGGGGTTTATGAAAAGTGCCTGAGCAAAGTGATTTTGTATCCCTGTAGGTAGCCTGGCAGGCTGGCTGCTGTGTTATGGGACAGAAAAGAATCCGGCAGTGTGGATGTGGCATTACAGTCTGAGAACAGTCTGTGTCCCCTTTTATTTAGCCCTTTCAAATAACCTTGTCAGGTAGCTTGTGTGGTAGCTGATTTCACGTCACTGTAAAAGATGCCATGACTTTACACTGGTGTAATGCTCAAACTACGTGTTCTTAAAAATGACAAGGGAGTGAAGTGGAAACGCCTTGCAAAAAGCAAAGAGCCTCTTCCTTGAGCATCTGCACCAAAACTGCTGTTCATCCTGGATGTCCTGGTATTCTGGCTCACTGCAAAGCTTTGAGAGGCCTCAGGAAGAGAAGTATTGTGGCTGAGATATTCAGAGCTGACTGCAGAGCTGGAAAACACTTCCAGTTAAGCTGCAGCATCTCAATTTCTCTTAGTGCATCTTTGTTCCTGTGCTTTTCCTCTGTCACTTTAGAGCAGTGTCTCGTGGCTGCTGATGTAGAACAGCCATGGAGTTGGCTTTAATTTGAGCCATTTGGTCACTGCCAAAGTTTTAAAGCTGGGAAAGTGGAGATTTGGACTGTGCTTGGAGGTGGAAAGTCATTGACTTGCCCAGCCTTGGCACGCAGTTCTTTCAAGGGCCATTAAGATTTGCTCTCTTCACATAGAGTACAGAGCAATCGTTGTGGCCAGACTGCTAAAGTGCCAGGCACTGTAGGGTCCTCATCTGTGCCATTTGCCTAGGCAACCCTGCTTGAGAGACCAGATAATCTGATTTCTGCTTCTCTTCCTTTCCAGATGTCAACAGTTGGCTCCTCACCTTTGGGTTCCAGCTACACAACGTCATCCCCGGCTACCCCAAGCCAGACATGGACGCCATGGAGCCATCCTATGAGCTTATCCACACGCAGATGAAAACCCAAGAATGGGACAACAGCAAGGTGATCCATGCAACTACATGCTGCATTTCATATCCTGATCAGCAAAGTATCCACTTGGGGTCTTTGTAAATAACCATCAGCGTGTTCTTCCAGATGTGCTGGGAGGTTAAGAGGGAGTTGACCCAAAGCAGCTTGTCTCTCCCCATTACAGTAATGAAATCTCACCGAATAATCAAGTCGTAAAATCTTTACTGCCCCTGTGTTTATTCCTGTGATACTTTCTGGTAGTCACTCAGTGAGATGGAGCATTACTATTTTTTCGTCAAACAAGAGAGAACTACCACATACTGCAGACAAAGGTCCTGGCCTTTGCACCAAGGATTCTTGGAAGCAAATGAAAGAAAACCTTGATACAGCATCATTTTCTACAGATTTTTTATATATTTTTTTTTTAATTTATTCAGTCTGGTTTAAAATACCTTTTTTTTTTTTTAAAAAAAAAAAAAAAAAGTCACAGCACTTCCCTAGGAAATTGTTCTGCATTACAGTGGGTTTCTCCAGAAAGAAGTTTTAGCTGATAGTTAACTTTCATTTTACCTGAGGGGTTTTAATCCCAAACCACTGTGTCCTGCTTTTAAAAACAGGCCTGCATCACAAGCCACTTTGGCAGATGCTAGCACAAAATGCAATGATAAAATTGGCAAGAAAAAGCTTTTACAGCCCAATCATTTCTCCGTCTCTTCCTGTTGGGAATTATTCAGCTGAAAGGTGGAGGCAGCACTGTTAAAGGTTAGCACACTGGGTCGGGGTCTGAGAGCCTTGGGTTACTCCCAGCCCTACTGCTTATCAGCTGTACGACCTTGAAAACAGTCATTTCCCTCTCAGGATACTCTTTCCTCTCCTAGCCTGATTTTATTCTGGGGTTGTTTTATCTCTCCAGTCTGAATTCTCTTTAGGATATAGATTCCTGCTTGCTGTTGTTGTATATTCAAATACTGCGAGAGCTGTGAGGCACCAATTTGTTTGGGGAGATCAGGATGTGCTCTTAACACTTCTGCTAATAAAATGATAATGGTAGCAAGTGGAACTGATCCCAGCTGCCTTCCTAGGCTCTTTATCTAAGCCTTTACTGAAATCCCACTGTCCTGCGGTGGATTCTTGAGGTCCTGTACACAAATTATTAACCCAGCAGGTAAAATACAGTGTCACATTTCCCCAGCCCCAAGGTATCACTCAGAGGTATGAACAAGGTACTGTGAATTAATTACATAGTCGTGTGTCAGCCCTGCCTCGGTACTCAGCCTCACAGTTGCAGGGAAGACAAGCTAAAATGTACCAGCTTCGACTTCAACAAGAGAGATTTAAATTAAGACATATCACTTTATAATAGAAGCAGACGGAAAGAACGATGCCTTTTGCTACCATGGCTGCGCTGATGCTTGAAAACCATTACGCCACAGTAACTCGGTTGTGTTTTGGAGCTCAGACACTTCTCTTTTGTTTCTCTCTTCCTCGGATTAAACAATGAAATGCTACCAGAGATGATTTCTGTAATGAGAAATAGCCTCGGGATTCTTCCCCCGCTTTGATGTGACAGTCTCTCCAGGCAAAGCCGTACAGGAGGAGGCAAACAGGGAAGGCTCGCTCAGAGACCGCACAAAGATTGTCTTTAAATTATTACGTACAGTAGATGATAACACTCAGATGTTAATAATAATAATAATAATATTATTATATCATTTCAGTATTTTTATTATGGTTATTGAATAGCCAAATAATTTAATTGGCAGCTTGAGATGAAGTCTGACACTTGTTTATACGGGAGCTGGAAATAAAACCAAGGAGCCGTCCCTTCCAGCCACCCATTTTAGGTGAATCTGCCTGAATGAGCAATAAAAAGGAAGTCTCCTTGTCCCCTTCAGGTTTGTAAACCAAGAAGCTGCAGCGAGGTCTGTGCAGGGACCTGCCTGGTAAATAAGGGCTTTATGCAGCTGTGGTGTTTCCAGATGAGTCACTTTACAATCACAACGTTGAAAGCGGAATTTAACCATTGCAGGTTGTTTCATTTTCTTCCCCTGTGTTATGACAGCAACAAAACAGGAGCATTTTTATTTTAGTCTACAGTTGCAGGATCATGCTGTGATAGCAAGTGGCTCTCAAATACTGTAGAGCAGGGTTCCCTTCCTTTCTGTCACAGACAGCATAATGTAGACATGTATTTGCATAAACTAAATTCATTCTCATTTTATACCTGAACATACGATCCATTTTCTCCTAAACCTATCCATGCGTTGAACGCTGATTTTTCACGTGCAGTTCTGTTTGTTCCCAGCCCTTCCAGCCACACACACACACTCCCAGACAGGATTCAGCCCTCTGTCGTACCAGTTCTCCCCGTATCTGTTGACGAAGCACGTGGAATAAAATGCAAAGTTTTGAAAGCCTCCCAAAACAAATGACAAAATTAAACAAAGTTAAATGGAAGTTCGGGAAATATTTTTGTTTAATGAGATTGATCGAACTGTGGAATGCCTTTCCAGAGCACGTGGAAGAAACTGCAGATCTTTTATCATTTAAAAGCAGCCTGGACAAGGCACCAGACAATGCCCATTCTGTTTGAAATCCGGGGATATTCACTGCATGATGTGCCACAGCTTTCTCATCTCTGCCTCTTCCGATCCCTGGTTTCTCTGGGTCACACAGCCCCTTGTAATAGACCAAAGGAAATTTGAATTACTCCACTGGCTCCGCTGATCAAAGCCATGGCCCAGCAGATTGAGTCAGCTCTTTTATCGGAGAGGAATGAATAACAGGAGCATAGCAGCAAAGCAACTAACTCCTTTGGCTGCATCGTATCTCTTCGGAGTGCATAACCAGAGGGGCCTGGCATCTCCTTCCAAAACATTGTCGGGACTTGCCTTGCAGGGCTGGAAGATGGGAGAGATAATTCTGGCTGTGGGCATCCACCAGCTCCGAAACAGCCAGCATGTCATAAACTTTGCACTAACCCCCTGCAGCTCTGGAGTGACATTTAAAATCCAATACTCTGTTGTGTGGCACTTTTCCCCCCCTTCTCCCCTGTGTCCATGAGCCTGTCACTAAATTGTTTGTTGAACAAGTTCAGTGTTATTGGCCACCAGGGGACTCCGGGTGACCTCTGGCATATTGTGGAGCTGCTGCACCTGAATGCAATTTCTCCTTTTTTCCCTTTTTCCCCCCTTTCCCTTTTGTCTTATTGAACTGTCAGGTAATTGCCAGAGCCAGAAGAGCTCTATTTGCAGGAAGGGATGTTTTGGAATCAGTGCTTCTAACATTAGCTACATCATATCATTAACTACGCTTCTGTCCCTCCCATAAGAAAATGTCCCAAGGACATTCCTCCCCTTCTGAGGGATTGCTCTTGACAATGCTCATCACTCAGCAAGAGCATCCTCACTTTAGGGGTGCTTCATCCTGAGCATGGGCCATCACGCTCTCCATGTATTCAGCTATGTTTTGTGAACCTTTTGGCTAGTTTTTACTTCATCTGATGTTGGGGAAGAGCTGAAGTCTCCAAGGCACTAAGCTCCTGAGGCATTATGAAAAAAGAAGAGCAGGAAAAGGAGGCAAATCCTTTTATTTCCCCACAGATGGAAATCTGCGTGATGAGCTCAACCTAGCTATCCCCCCAGAGCTGTGTGCACGAGTGGGATGGAGGAGAGACCTGTCCTCCAAACCCAAGAGTTAGCGATGTGGGGTGTCCCCCCAGCCACCCTCCACCAGGTGTCCTAGCTCTTGGGCAGACCTTGGGAGCTACATCCTGAGGGGTTCACCATCAGAGAGGGCATCCATAGCAGGGAGTTAACGGTGGAGAATTTTGAAGGCAGGGAAGGGGTAGCTTGGGCCAAGCATTTTGGAAGTGGCTTTCCACGTTGTAACCCATATGGTAGTTGGAGAAACACCTATCTGTGTATAGCGGCAGGGGATGGAGAGAAACTTGGAAACGTACTCACGTATTTCACATCTTGGATCCTTGATGGGAAATTAAAGCTTGCAGTCTCACACTGGAAGGCGGTATTTAAAAACAACAGATGATAGTATCTGGCGATGGTATTTCGAATCCTCGAGAGGTGCAGGCAAAATGCAAGAGGCTATTCAGAGAGCTCTGCAATGTGCCGTTCTCTCGAGCTCTGTGCAGCAGGAAAGAAATGATGAAGGTCGTTCTCTTCTCTCCAATGGGTTGTTACTAGATAAAGTGAAATGTCACCTAAGGACATCTGATTAAAAGAGTCTGTGAGGAAAAACAAACCCAGCCTATTTGTCACTCACATCTAAGAACAAATATTGAAATAAAACAACTATGAATTCCCCTCTTTCTGCCTTAATGCTGGTTTTATGGATACCTTCCTTTACAGTTGCTAAAAGCAGTGGCATTTTTTAGAGAATACTATACACCACTGCAGCCTTGGATGAAAATTTTGTTTCTCTTCCTTACCAGTTCATTAAAATGAGTTCTAAGATGAAACAGAAATGGTAATTGCAAAGTCAGGGATACACTGCCTCTTTGAACTGTGCGCAATATGTTTGCCTCCCCCCTGTATATTCACAGCAGAGCATACAAAGCTAGCTGTGCCCTGGTTTGCCTGAATTTGGTGTGTTTTTTTTCTACTGTTGGATGGGTTTGTTTTTCTTTTATAAAAAAAATGCTGTTCCCAAATATCATTTTGTTTTATCAAAGAAATGCACTCAAAAAGTCATTTCAAAGTGATTGCGGGCTCATTTTCAAGATAACAGAGTTATTTGCAGATAACAGAGTTTAGTTATTATAATAGTTAAGAGATGTTCAGTATTACAGCTTCTACTACAAAACAAAAGATGGGGAGATGTTATGATAAAAAAAAAAGGCCTTTATCTAGAAGGCCTGTAACCAATCCCCAGTGAAAGACCTTTTGGGTGTGATTTTTTTCTAGATGGAGACACCTAAATTTAGGCCCCTGCCTGTGAACTTGGTGTCCAGCAGGGCACAAATCACCCAGAGCTTTTGTTTCTCACTGCTCCACGAAGAAGCTGCAGGCACTCTGCGGCATCTCAGATCACACTACACATCAGTGTATGGGTTTATGGGCAACTGAATCAGTCCTGAAGCCAACACTGAAGTGTGAGAAGCAGGTACACTGAAGGCTGGGACATCCATAGATCGGCAAGTACTACCCAGTTACTTTGCCAGCAATGTTGCCCATGCAACAAGAGAAATGCTTTCCCTGTACAGAGGAGATGTGTCCTGGGTAGAGGCTGAGAGAACCAACAAGCCAGTTGGCCTCACGTCCTGTCTGAGTGTCCTGAGGCAAAAAGTGACAGTGCCATTGCTGTTAGCTCATGTGTAAGCCATTAAACCGCCAAGTCATGCCAGTAGAGGGTGGGTGCTGCTTATTTTCCTTCTATATGAAATCCAGATGAGCAGTGGAGCTGTGGAAATTGTATGACTTCATATAATGTCATGAAGGCAGCATTGTTATTAGATAAAGGAAAGGTCATGTATTCTGTTATTGGGTCATAAATTGTAAAAAAGACTTTAAAATTTTGGTTTACCTTTTGTAGTGGACAATTGCTGATCTAAAATCAAATTTATTGGGAATTTGACCATGAAGTTGAAAATCAAAAAATTTGACCTCAGGCCAGAGGGTCCCAGCTTGACAGAGCTTGTGGAGCTTGATGAAGGTAGATCGTGTCAGAGCTGTTGCCTGTTGTACCTATCACAGCATGTGCCAAACAGGTTACCGTCCTTCCTGAATTAATGGCAAACTCAAGGACATCACCCAGTAAATGTCACTGTACAGCTGTTGTCAGCAGAAGACTCCCAACCAACATTTTAGAGTAATAACAGAATCACAGAATCATAGAGGTTGGAAGAGACCTTCAAAATCATCTGGTCCAACCATCCCCCTACCACCAATGTCACCACCAAGCCCTGTCCCCAAGCACCACGTCCAACCTCTCCTTGAACACCCCCAGGGACGGGGACTCCCCCACCTCCCTGGGCAACCCTTCCCAAGGCCTGACCGCTCTTGCTGAGCAGAAATGTCTCCTCATTGCCAACCTGAACCTCCACCGGTGCTACTTGAGGCCATTCAGAGACAGCAGTTGGAGGGGTCTGAAGCCAAACCAGGAGCTGAAAATAAATTTATTTAATTTTAATTAATTAAAATTAACCAGTGTGGATGATAAGAGGTCCAGTGCAAGACCTCACTGCCGAGGCTTCTCTCATTTAGCAGCATAAACACAATATTACAGACTATGTCCTTCTGGCCCAAACCATGCCTGGTGCTGTCCAACTTACCCAAGGTGATACTGAGTAGCTGCTGCGATTAATTAATTCTAGGGATCCCTGACCACTTAACTTCTGGTGAATATAGCAATGCATATATAGAGAAGGGTGACAGATAAATGACCACAGGAGGCAGAAATGTGGTGCAGAAGACCTGATTTACATTCCTGAGTGAAGGATCTTGCACTAAATGATGATTCAGTGCGAGTAATGAGAAGGAACTTTTCCCGTTGCTTGTAAAAGTTACTGAGCAAGATGGAAGAGCAATGTGGCAGGCTTGGGTCATGGGGAAGGACCACCTGGAGTCAGCCCATAGGAGATGCACCTGAGAGGAATACATCCTCATTTAAACACCTCTTAAGATGAAATACCTAGTGAAGGGTGTGCGATGTGCACTTATGCAGAACTGTAAGTGTTTCGTGGAGTCTAGAAGCCTAATTGCTCCCTGTCCATCATCGGTGACATCTTCATTAATTACGTCCATCTTTTCCATAATTAGAGCCCTTGTTCAGCTGGTGGGGGAGCTATCAGACTGTTAATTAGATCGCTCTTTGGGCTGTATGTGAGATCCCCCACAGGCAGCATGGGGAGAACCAGAAAGAGCTCCTATGGCTGCTCCAGCAACTATGCTAGCAACCAAAAAGGGGGAGGAAAGGGGGCTTCTGCAGCTTTCTTGGCACTTTGAATAAAAGTAAGTCTTGGGTCTTAGGTATTTCGATGTTGATTAAACCCAACACTCGCCCTTAAACTTGTGTACCTCTGTTCTTTTATAGTTTTCTCCTCTATAGAGCAAAAACTGCTCATAACCACTGAGCAAGTTACAGTGCAGGATGCTTTATTTTGTTTCTCTAATGGTTTCAAACCCTTCCTTGGAAACGGCTACCAGGGAAGCGAGGGTTCATCTCCCTTCCCTCACCATAAGTCGTAGTAAAGAGGTCAATGCTGAAATGTCTGCATTGTCTGAAATGTCTTCTTACAGCCAGGGAAGGATGTGAGCCTTTAGCTTGTGGACTGTTTAAGGCAATCTCCTTCATGGATGTTAAATTTCCTCAAAATAATTGGAGTGCAGCAAACTTTTCTTTGTAGCCTATTTTTAATCCTGGATGTCATTACTTTATTGAACTCAGCCGTTGGCAGTGCCAGGAGAGTTTTGTCGTAGCATCCTCTTGCTTTTGTGAAATTTGAGCAAATAATTGTTCATGAGCAAGGGTTTGTAAGAAGATTGCGCTGCCATGAATTGATGAGAGCATTTCCAAAGACATTTTGCAGTAATGATGAGCTGCTGACTCGCTGTGTGCTTGCTCCATTATACGCTAACAGCAAAAGTGACTTTGTATTGTACCTGACTACAAATGATCCAGGCTGTTGTCTCTCTGCAGTTTTTCTTCAATATAAGCTAAAACTCGAACATCAGGTATGGCAGGCCCTAGCTCAGGGAGCCTGGCACGTTGTAGAGGGTCTGCAGGAAATAGGATTTGGATTTAGGGCCCTCCTTGAGTTTTGAACAGCCTGCTTTGGCCAGGCTGAAATGGGATGTAGAGGGGCTGTGGCCACTTCGAGGGTCGTACCTGCGATGCAGGCCTTTTGAAAATGGCCCAAAGAGTTGCAAGGCGAAGTTAAAATAGAGGGAATTGTTACAGATATTTTCATACTTTGTCACAGAAACCTCAAAGCATTTTATAAAGCATAATGGCCACCGAATTCTCTGTAAGTGATTTCTTATTTTCAGATAAAGATTGCTGCAGCACAAAATAATAGCTCAGCCAGGTGGGAGAGCCCAAATGAGACCCCCACACTACTAAAGCAAAAACTCCTTTTCTCCCTATGCCTCTTTCTATCTGTAAGTGTAAATACACTTCCATTTATTGAAACAATGAGTATTAGGGGGAATATCCTGGCATGTGTCTCTTCTACTACAAAGAATTAAAAATCTGAAGAAAGTTGATGAGAAAAAACAAAAAATGGAGCTCCTCATTAGATTGACGCTGGTCTCTAGCATGCAAAACAATGCCTTTGGGTCATCAGGCTTCTCTTTCTAACATACCTTTTTCTTTTTTTTTTCTCCGTTCTCAGTCAATTTTGGGGGTCCAATGTGAAGTGCAGAAGCAGCTGAAGGCCTTTGTCACCCTTGAGCGCTTTGAACGGATCTACAGCTCCAGCATCGCCGGGTGCCGGCACGTCAAGAAGAACAAGAACTTTGCCTCCGGAGGCTCCATCTTCGGCAAAGGCGTCAAGTTCGCCATGAAGGACGGGCGTGTGGCCACCGACATTATCAGTGTGGCCAACGAGGATGGGCGGAGGATCGCAGCCATCCTGAACAACGCCCATTACCTGGAGAACTTGCACTTCACCATCGACGGGGTGGACACGCACTACTTCATCAAGCAAGGGCCGTCGGAGGGCGACCTGTCCATCTTGGGCCTCAGCGGCGGGCGGAGGACCCTGGAGAACGGCGTGAACGTCACGGTGTCCCAGATCAACACAGTGCTGGGTGGAAGGACTAGACGTTACACGGACATCCAGCTCCAGTACGGCGCGCTGTGCCTGAACACTCGCTACGGGACCACCTTGGACGAGGAGAAGGCCCGCGTCCTGGAGCTGGCCCGCCAGCGCGCCGTCGCCCAAGCTTGGGCCCGAGAACAGCAGAGACTGCGGGATGGGGAGGAGGGTATTCGCTCGTGGACAGAAGGGGAGAAGCAACAAGTGCTAAACACAGGCCGGGTACAGGGCTACGACGGCTATTTTGTGATCTCAGTGGAGCAGTACCCAGAACTCTCAGACAGCGCCAACAACATCCACTTCATGAGACAGAGCGAGATGGGCAGAAGGTGACAGAGAGGGTCCATACGGTGACTTCTTGCCAAAGACAGCTACTCTTTTGTGGCCACTTACCTGACTGTGTTGTACTCAATCCTTTTTCTAAACTGAACAAGGTGGGGGGGAGGAAAATAGAAAGAGAAGGAATAATATGGTTGCACTGTAACTCATGCAACATCCTTTTTTTCCCCTTTAATTTGGCCTTCACACGTTTTTTGCAATGAACAGAAGGTATATTTTGCCGTAGTGTGATCACAGTGACATTTACTGTCTCTTGTCCTTTTTTTTTTTCCCCTTTGTGAGGAATTTGAAGTGGGGAGTCGTCAACGTACGTCCGTAGGTGTGAAGTGCGAAATGGGTGTCTGTGCTAACTTGTGTCATCCTAACCCTTTCTGGTTTGGGGCAGGGACAGATAGCCTTCCACCCAAAAAATGGGGAGCCCACGGCGTGCCTGGAGAGCTCTTCCTGGGAAGAAAGGAAAAGGAAGACGACACTGATTCCTTAACGCCGAAAGCGACCGACCGTCCGAATCATGTGCCTCAAAAGAGACCTTACAAGTAGTTTTCACGTTTCACTTGGGACTTAAAGTGTTTTTTGGGGGCTCCTGCTGAGCAGAAGTAGATTATAGAGGCAAAGGAGCTGATTATATTAACTTGCAAGATGATTCTCTTCCTTCCTGAACTGGAATAAAAAAAGAAAAAAAATCAGTCTTTTTTCATTATGAGAGTAGATACTTTTTGTTTGTTTTTGTGTGTGTGCGCAAATCCTGGTTTTAGTTAAAACCTAGCAAAAGCCAAGAAAGGGACTCCTGCTCTATTGAGAAAAGCTAAAATAAATTCTCTCTCTCATACGTAGAGCTGTTCTATAGGTGGATTTAATGCACCCATGTTGTACATTTGCTAATGGCATAACTTCATTAAATGTATAGTGTTTCAGTACACGAGGCTACGTGTTTAACAGTCCACTGTGCTGTATCTGATAAAACCAGTTAATTTTTAGGAAGCTGATTTGAATTTAAAAGTAGTTATAGTATCCCAGTGACATACCACTGAAAATTAGAGCAAGCCAAACCCTGCTTTTCCTGATTCTGGAGCTTGTATTTATTGGCTGGGAAACGCAGTTTTGAGTAGCATGCTGGCAAGTCATTTATGACTATGGCAGATAAATGTCTCTAGGGGACTTTGGCAGCAGGGATTTTAAAATGTTTAATAAGTAGCAACAGCTTGTGCGTGGTGGGACAAGAAGGAGAATATTGGAATCAACCCTCTCACTGTTTCTTACACGAGCTTGAATTTAACGGAGAGCCCAGTTGACTGTTAGCAGTGAAGAAAGGGAAGCTTGGCTAGAAATGCCCACTACAGAGGGGACCAAGTGCTTTAATAAGAAACTGCTGACAGAGTTACATGGCATGCTAATGTAATTTGTATTCACATAACCTCTGTGCTCTGGAAGTGTCCTTGAAATTCAAGGGAACAAGGAGATGAGATGAGCATCCTCTTCCCTGCCTGAAGCAGCCCCGTGGTAGCAAGGGGCCGTTCCTGCAGGCTGAGGCATCACCCCGCTGGCCAGCCCTGGTCCCAAACAGGCATCTCACACTGACACGTGCACATATCCTGACTCTAAGAGCTCTCACCGTGTCTCTCTGAGAACATCTCGGTCCTGATTTATTTTTTTTCCCCCCATCCGCTTCACTTTATGCTGCCTGGTTCTGCAGAGAGATAACCCGAGATGTGCAAATCCATGCCAAGGCTGTTCCTTCACTCAGTGCCCTACCTGCAATGCACCCCTGAGCCAGCCCACCACCGCTGGCATCCTCCAACACATCCCGATATTCCTCTGCAGGCTCCAGCCCCCAAAACAAGGCATGTTGGGCACATGCTCCTCGAGCAGCAAAGTTTTGGCAGCCCCGGTGCTATCGCGGTTTCCCCGTAGATGCCGGCTGCCAGCTCTGCCTGCCTTGCCTCTCTGTTCCCGGGTGCTTGCCTGGAGGGAGGTATGGGATGGAAATTCCCCCAGCAGACTGCTCCTCCTTCAGTTCCCAATCCTTCGGGCTGCACGGCCGTAATTTCGGCAGCTGCAGAGCCCCAGGGCTGACCCACCTTGGGGCCACCCACCGGTACAGCCCTGAATTCCTGGCGGTCCCTCCTGCTTGCAGCAAGGATGACGTTGCTGCTGCTGTAACCAGCACTGTGTTCCCCACCACCCCTTGCAGCATGCAACCTTTAGAGCTTTGGCAGGCGTGAATCGCAGGCAGCTGGGCTGGAAAGGGCATCGGGCTCCGGCAGAGCCAGCTGGGAGGAGCTGCAGAGCCTGGGCCAGCTCAAGTCCTTGGCAAAGGAGCGGTGGTTTTGGGCAGCCGCCTGCCAGGGATGGTGGAAAGGCCGTGGCATCACTGCCTGTGTCACTGGTATCCAACTCTTGGCAAGCCTCGGTTGTCCTGAGGATGCTCTGGTGGGGACTGGGGCAGTGTTAGCCAAGCCAGCAGCTGCCACCTACTTGGAGGAGGCAGCATCACCTTTCCAGGGCTCCCCAGTTCCCCCTCCCTGGGGTACACCACGAACAGATCCCCCCCTACCAGCTCCTCAACCAGGTGGACCAAAAAAAGATAAATAAAATATGGGAAGCTGGGAGGAAAGGCGTAAACACATGTTGAAGACCTGTGGCATGGAGAGAGCTCGGCGTGCATCCCATCATCCAGGTAGCTCCGGCGAGAAGCGACGCTTCCATCCCCATCCCCATCCGCGTGTTGCAGGAGGAGCAGAGCAAGAGCAAGCCACGCAGCCACGGAAAGAGACTCGAGCGTGAAACATTCCTGCTGGAACCCTGCCAGCCTGAGACGGCACCTCTACAGCCTTACAGACCCTTCAGGTTATTACACGAGCTGGTGACTTGGAGGAGCTCTCCCAGTTTTCAAGAGTCTCACGGTCCCTGGAGCCGGGAGCCGTCCTGCTCCGCACCACGGGGTGCACCTCTCTGCATCCTCCAGCACCCGTAGGGTGCGACTGCCCACCAGCAACATGAAGGTCTTCTCCTGGACCTGCGTCCTGTGCAGAAACTGTGGACAATATCTCAAAAATAAAAGGAAAAAATATATATATGTAAGGGTATATACATATATATCTGTGATGCTCATTTCCTTATCGAAGCCTTTAACCAAAAAAAAAGGGATGGCCATCCGGTGATGGATACAAACCTGCCTGAAGATGTCTGCTATGTTTTCTGGACATGGTTCTGGGCCCCCTGCTCCTAGTGGCCCTGTTTGAGCAGGGAGGTTGGACCAGATGACCTCCAGAGGTCCCCTCCAACCTCAACCCTCCTGTGATTCTGTGATTCTGTTCCTGAAACTTCAGCCTCTGTGAAAGCTTCACCCCTTCCACTTGACTTGGGTGGTGAAACTGGAAACAAACATTTTCAGCCTTGAACCCCTGCATTTCCCTGTCCATTAATGGAAAGTCCTTTTTCTAGGGGACCCTGTTGTGTTTTCCCATGGAATTTAAGGGATGAGGCTGATGGCACAAAGAGGGCTGAGCCATGCCCTGCCAAGCAAGGGGCTGCTCTCAGCTGTTCCCCAAGCATTTCCACTCAACTCCTGGCCCCGTAGCCATTTCCCAGCACTTGTGCAACCCTGATTGTCTCCCTGCAGGACCACATGGTGGCTCCCCAACCCTTCATGCTTTGCCTGTGGGCAGCGGGACAGCAGTTCCTCATTTCTGGAAGGCTGGGAGGTCCTGGGCACCACTCCCACCACGCTAACCCCGTTTATCCCACCTCTGGATGTGCTTCTGGAAGCCAGTCAAGTGTGTGACCATGGCTGTGGAGAGTGTCACCATGGCCTTGGGCACATTCATGGCTCAACTTCGAGATCTTCTGGATTCCCCAAAGCGCATCCCTTCAAAATGCAAAGGATTGGATTAAATTCCCTTGAACTCCTGGGCTTGTCTCCAGCTGGAAGGGTTGGGTGAAGGGTTAGGACCAAGCTCAGTTTGGAGGAGAAACTCCAGCATCCCTGACCGCTGGATCCCAGTGTGAGCTGTGGGTGAGGAGACAGCTTCAGCCCTCCATAAATGCTGCTGGGACCAAAACATCCTTCATTTGAAGAAACCCAGACACAAGCTGGTGCCATGGGGGCTCCGCATCTCAGGATCATCCCGCGTGCTCAGCCTGAGTGAAGAGGACCAAAACTAATTTGGCATCACGAGAAATGCCCCAGTGTTTGTTACCTCCGAGCTCTTAATTATTTTTTTTTTATCCCTTTCTGCTGAAAATTGGAGCTCGGAAAAATCATTGAGCGGCAGTGACCGGAGGGAACCACGCAGCTCATCATATCTGTGTCGGCACGGCTATTGATCAGAGCCACGACGAATCGGAACGATACCAGGCGAGAGCTGATGAGACAAAGGTTGTTCAGAGCCCGGTGCTTGGTTCGGGTCTGAAAACCACGGATGATTGGGAGCCGGCTCCGAGCCCCCATCTGGCTGCACGTTAGGAGCAGTGAGGGATTTCTGTAATATATCTGTAGTTGCTTTATTGAGCGTAGGGAACCGGGTGAGATTCTGCTCAGTCTATTATACGGGGAGTGTAACCAGAATAAATCAAAATTGTTTAAAAAAAAATATCCACAAAAAAAAAAAAAAATCTAATAAAGTACTTTTTCAGCTGTGACTTGTAAGTGTCACCATGATAGATGGCAGCGCAATCCATTATGCAAAGACAAGGCTCTTAACATGAAATTTTAGAATTCAATTTTACGATTTACAGGGAGGGCCCCCCTCATATTTACAGCGCAGCAGTCTGTTTCGATTCAATCTCTGCGTAATTGAAACCAGGGCCACGGATCTCGGTTACTCACTCAGCCGCTTTTCGAACGGGGAGGAGAAAGAAGCGCCCGTGATGTTAATAACGGAGCTAAAAAGATCGTTTTGCTTGTTAAATCCGATTTGTTTTACCCACCCGTGCCGGCGGCGAAGGGCCGTGTGTCAGCGCTGCCGGGCTGGGGTTTGTTGGGCTGAACCTGGTGTCCTCCGTCCCACAGCGTCCCCATCCCATGCCGGATGCTTTCGAGCATCTCTTTTTCTTACAATCCCTCTTTTTATTACTATCGCTAAATATGTAGATATGTGAATCCCCCGGTTACACCGAAGAATTTCCCTGAGTTTTATAACACGTAAAAGATTTTTTTTTTAATTTTTTTTCCTCATCCCTGCAGTACAGTTAAATAAAATTTCTTGCTACTGTCGAGCAAATTTCCAGCAGCCCCCGCAGGGACAGGAAGCCTCGTGGTGCTCCTGGGCATCGCGTGTCCTGGGGGCTGCTTCCCGCGGTGTTTTTCCACGCTGTGCTACCCGAAATGACCCACCAAAGGGAAACCTTCTGTGTCTCTTGCCTGCTTTCCTTTAATTAACGTAAAACTTTGTGTTCCTGACAAAGTCGTACATGGCTCAACTGTTAACTCCCACGCTGAGGGTCAATGCTTTCTGGGCAGGGGAGCATTGAAAACCGCGAGTGAAAATTAACTGAAATATATATATATACACACACATATATATATTTTTTTCTTTCCTCAGAGCTGAAAACGGTTCAAGCAAACAATAGAACTTTCCAAAAAACCTACGACTTTTGGGCAGTTCATGGATGTTGTTGAAATAACCAATCAAAGAATCACACTTTTCTATCTTAAAAAAAATAATAATAATGTTTATTTTGTGTGAGGACTTCTAATGCAGCTGCACCTGAGCAGAGGACTTTGTATTAAAGCTGCATCTACAAGCCTGGCACTGGAGACTCTTGTCATTACCCTGTGTAATAATTTTCCTGAAGTCTGGAACTAATTTTTTGAGAAATTTTTTTTCTCGACACTTTGTGTTTCTAATACTGTATTCTTGACTGTGTAAATACAACCAGGCTGTAAATAAGTGCAGATGTAGATACCTTCTAGAAAAACAAAAAACGAACAGACAGAAGTGACCGTGTGTAGCCTTCGGTGACAAATAAAAGAATATTTTGTGTTTAAATAGCTTTTATTATTATTATTAATGAAAATGTTGGATTTCTTCGTCTCATCTGCTTGCTCCTGACATGGGGGTTGGAGCTGGAAAGCCAGCCCCAAGGAGATGGACCTGGCACAGGCTGCCCAGACAGGGGCTGGGGGCCCCTCCTTGGGGATCTCCAGCAGCTGCCTGGACATGGGGCTGGGCCCCCTGCTCGGGGTGGCCCTGCTGGAGCAGGGCTGGCACCACAGGGACCTGCAGCTGCCCGACACCACCAGCCACTCAGGGGTCCTGTGAATTTGCACCCTCGGGAGCATCCCCACCTGTGCAGGAACGCAGCTGCCCTCAGGACTTTGCTGATCCATTGGTTAAATCCTGGGATTTGGGGGCATCCTTGTAGCACTGGGGGAAGCCCCCATCCTGGCAGAAAGCTCTGCTCTCCATTCAGAAACCAAACCCATGAAGACCTCTAAAATGTTTTGCTATGAATAATTTTCTTCCCATGGTAGAGATTATTTCTTCTCCCTGTTGATCAGGTGTTGCAGGTACCAGCATCAGACATTTCCATTTCAGCAGGACCAGGGAGGGTTACAGGTGATCTCCTGTCTCACACACTATTAATTCACAACATTTGTTGGGTCAAACTTGCAGAAAACCATTGCACAGCTCACAGAGCCTCTACTTCCTACCACCTCTAGACCACGCACCAGCATGTCGCATCTGATAACAGAGTATTTCAGTCTGGGGGAAGCTGTGTGGTGCTCAAGAAAAATCAAGTCATCACACCTCCCCCCTAAAAAAAATCAAGTTATCACTTTCAGCATGTAGGCATCAGAAATAGGGGAATTAAGTTTCTCCTTTCTCCTTTGGCTCTAAACAGAGTCAGAGGGACCCGTTCATACCTCTCTGTGCACATTTCTGACGTTAGGTGAGATGTGTCCAAGTGCTGTCAGATGCTGGCTCATAAAAGGTTTCCCAAAGGTTTCTACCCATTTGTGGCCATTGCTGATGGGAGGTTATCCTCTCCATCAGGAGAATGTGTTGTATTTGTTTCTCAGCCTTCAGCTTCCAGTGCCAGACCTGGTACAGTTTCTCCAGCCATTCTACAGAGCAAATGTTCCCCAACACCAACTCCTTCACTATCCCAAGCATGATAAACTCCAGCACCATGGCACGAGGACTACCTTCCAGCTGCGGGATAATTTATCCATCCTCTGAAGTTTTTGGCTACCTTTTCTTAAGCAGGAGCACAGGTTTCCCTTACCTTGTGAAGAAAGGCAAGATCTTGTTCCTCTGCTCATGGGCGTTTTTTATCTCCCAGGCAGGCTTTGGCCCCTTCTGTCTTGCCACCGAAAGTGCATGTTGAACCAATTACACGGTGACCTTGAAGCCTTCCTCGAAGCCACAGGTTTCTGAGAGAAGCCAGCTATCCCACGGATCTGATTTGCAGCCTTTGTTCCAAGACAGATGCATTAGTTTGCGTCAGGCTATTATTCACGAGGCTTTTCTTGGGCTGTGCTCAGCCAGGGGACTCACATCCCCCTGTGCCAGTGACCTGCCCTTGCTGGTACCCGCCGTCCATCACTTGGTGCACCACCTGTGGTTTATCATCAAAAAATGCCCTGCTTTAAATCATTGATAACTATATCAAAATGCATCGGAGCATTTAATCCCTGAGGGTATCCAAGGAAACGGCGACATTTTAAGTTGCCGGTGGACCAGGTTTGGCTCTGCTCCGCGTGGTCACGCCAGATAAGACCAATGTTTTAATCAAAATATTACGGGTAGTAAATCAAGTGCTTTCACGAGAGCCGCCCTGCCATGCCAGTTCAATAGGCCAGCACAGACTTATCACGTCGTGTTTTAATAGGGGCCGTAGCCAGAGGCCTCTGGCTTATCTTTCAAGAGGCTGCCGGGAGATTTTCCTTGCTTTTGAGCAGGGCCCAAAGGAAAATTTGTCCTCTTCTGCATGCCTCATAGAAAGCAATTAGCCTGGGCGACATCTCACGTACAGTCAGAAAGGGCTGAAAATAAAGAATGGGGATTAGGTTCAGATGGGAGAGGGAGACACGTGGAGAACAGGTGGGTCGTCCCTACAGGTGTCTGGCAATGGTGAGCCTGGTGGCCTTTCCTAGGGACAAAAAGATGACCCTTAGCTCTCTTGCCGAAAGACGCAGGTCCAAGACACAGAAAAGCCGGGCTGCAAGTGGAGCTGCAGCTGAGAACAGGGACAGAGACTCTTCCACAAAGAGCAACGTGCGTAAAAGCAATATCTCATTATTAATATGTCCCCTTGAAGCAACTGAGGTTGGTCTTTGCCAAAACATGACAATTTCAGTTTGGAGCAGTCATTTACGGAGAAATTTCCAGCTCCCTTGAACGCAGCATGCTAAAACACCAGGGGAATCACATGAGTTATTGTGATTTGGGATGTTTTAAAAACTCTGTTTCTCAGGTTCTGACAGGGACACTGCTCCACACACCAGCCCACTACATAAACCACAAGCCCTAGCACCTCCTCCTCCAGCATGCCGGTTGGAAAAACACAAGCTTTGCTAAGCCCTTTCCAACACATCCTTGTCAGGATTTCCTCCATGAAGGATATCTGGAGCCCGTGCAAAGGGCAGCACGTCCTTTGGGACAGCAGCTCTGTAGCTCCAATTCAGAGACAGGCCAAATGTTCAGACTTAACAGATCTGCTTGGTCTGCCTGGTTGGATATTTCTAGAGAAAAAAAAAAAAAAAGGAAACAAGAACATTTCAGCACATGCAGTTCTTGGCTCCACTCAGTGGCGAGGGAGCTCAGGTACTCTCCTCATGGTGGAGAACAAGAAAATGGCCATATCAGGTCAGAGGAGACCTTTCCAGCCCTGTGTCCTACCTCCAGATAAATGTAATGGGGAGGAAGATATGAGCAGGACAAGAGCTGCGTCCTTGCAGTCAACATCACAGCATCTTCAGGCTGCAAGCCAGCTCATCTCCCCCTCTTTGAATTGAATGATACAGAACCATGGCCAAAATACATCTCTGGGTTTGGATGTTGCTCAGCCTGCTCAAATGCCTCCAAGTCCACCTCTTGCAGTCACAGTGCAGCTTTTAAACTTCAAGTTCAAATCATGTTTCATTACCTATGGGGCTTCCTAAGCAGCGGAAGTCAGTGACCAGATCATTACAGTGAGCTTCTTCAGCAGTCAGTCCCCCAGGTGAGGTGCTACAAGCAAGCAGGACCACACAACACCTTTGCTTTTTTTACAAATCTACCTTTGTGTAATCCATGGTCCCAGATTTTGATTAAAAAAAAAAAATATATATATATATTAAAACGTACTTTTGTTTTGGCAGGGGGGTTGGACCCAATGTCGTGAAGTCCCTTCCAACCTCTACATTTCTGTGATTTCTCTGTGATAAAAGTGGTTGGCAACATATAAAGAAAGAAGGATGTTGCGTTCATTTACAATAGCTGTACTTCATACCTGTGCTGTGTTTCGTGTTTAGAAATCTCCTTCGAGCTACAGAAAATATTACCTCAATTTTACAAGTGGGACAAGTGAGGCACTGAGGTTAAATGTTTGGCCTGAGATCACTCGGTCAGGGGATAAATAATGAAAAAGCCGTGACTCAACGGCCCTGTGCCA